GGGGGGGCGGAGGCGTCTGGGAGCGGCAGGGAGGACTCACCCCGTGCTTCACCGTCTTGGCAGCATGGGCAGCTTTCTTCTTCGTGTCGTACGGTGTGAGGATATCGATGATGGCCATGAAATAGACCTCCTTCTTGGGGGCACCTGGGGGGAGGGGGGCAGGGGAGGAGGAGGGCAGGAACCCTGCAGACCTGAGGCCCGGACCCACCCCTGGCGTCATGGCCCTGAGGAAAGGAATGCTAATGGGCCCTTCTCAGAGGCCTCCAGAGCTCTTCTCTTGTTTGTGGACAGTCTTTCTCAGGGTTTAGAACCATGAACCGGGGCCCAGCCAAGCCTCCGGCTTCCAGGACAAGCAAAGAGGGGAAGGACAGCCTGAAAGAGAAGGACCGCAGGGCCCCAGAAGCCAGACTTCCTGCCGGCAGATCGGGAGGAGAGCCCGCAGGCAGGCAGAAGGCCAAAGTCAGCAGTGAATGAGGTGGGGGTCCAGACACCCAGAGGGGCACCTAAACCATGGGCCTGAGGGGGTCGCACGGGGGCCAGGGGTGGGCAGGGCAGACGCGGGCTCCTACTTACTTTCATGGCTTTTCATGGCATAGACATCAACAGAGGGGTCGAACTCCCCGGGGCCAAAGAAGCGGGGGAAGCTGAGGAGGTTGCCCGGGCTGTCGGGAGGCGTGCCGTAGGAGCAGAGCAGGTTGCCCCCCAGCCCGTCGTTCTCGCACTCCTCGTCCTCGGCCCGCTCCTCCACCTCCATCTCCTCCTGCTCCGCCCGGTCCACGTCGTGGATGCCCACCAGCAGGCTGTAGTCCATGATCTTCAGCTGGGCCAGGAACTAGGGCAGGCGGGGAAGGAGAGATGGAGGAAGAGGTTACACGGGGCATCCCCGGGGGCATCTGGAAAGGGGAGAAAAGGCACTCCCTTCAAGGCCATTCTCCAATTCTCAAACGCGGGCGAGAACAAGCCATCGAGGCTCTGCCTTCAGTGAGCTCAGTGTCCCGCGGGGAGCACAGCCATTCCCGAGGGCAGGGAGCCGTGGGAGCCCAGGGCGGCGGGGCGGGGGCCTCCCTGGGGACAGCGGTTGAGGCAGCCTGCGGATGAGGAGCGGTCAGGCAGGCCGAAGCTGTGGGAGGAAAGGCAGAAGGAGCCCCGAGGGAAGAGGCCCTTCGGTCTGGGATCAAGAGAGGCTGCGGCGAGTCGGGGCGAGGAGCGGGACTCCGCCGTGCGCTCAGGCGCGTCCTTCGGGCCACAGATCTCACCCATCAGGGGCCCGAGGCCTGTCAGTAGGCTGGGGCCAGGATTTTTTTAATTATGAAATACTACGAAATAGAACAGAAAACGTGAGAGGTCGTTAGAGGAAGTAGGCGGCCGGTGGTTCCGTCGTGTGTGTGCGCGCTCACGTGCTGGGCTGCGAGCTAAAACGTGCTTCTCACCCACGGCCGCAGGCGCGCCCGGAACACCACGTGACTCGGCTTCTGCACCGGGCAGGATAAGAACAGGGAGACGAAGGGAAAGAAAAGGGAAGAGCCCCTAAGACAGAGCCAAGCGCCACTCGAGCATCCTCCCGGAGGTCCGACGCGGCTGCGGCGCGGGCCTGGCACCTGCACGAGCGTCGCACGCGGGACGGTGGCTCAGGTCTCCTGGGCTCGCACTCCGCGACTTGAAGGATGACAGGAAGGGGCTGACACAGATGGAGCCGGCCAGCCGGAACGCCAGTGCCGCGACCGCCGAGGCCGCCGTCACCAGCGCAAACCCTGAGGGAAGCGGCCGCGCGGCACGTGCCGGGCTCTGCCGTGGTCACCGGGAAACCGCCCAACGGAGCGGCCCACGCACAGGCCCCTGGGCTTCTAAAAGCACAAGCAGCCCTGATGACAGACGATCAGCAGCCTCTCCTCTAGAGAGAAAGGTGGGGGGCACCACACCAAGCCCCTCTGGACGAGCCCTTCCCAAGGTCCAAGGGGAGGGGACTGAGGTCCCAGAAGAGAGAGTCCACGACCCACACCCACTGCTATCCACCCGAGAACACTGAGAGAGCAACAGGCAAGTGAAAACAAACGACATGTGCAAACTGCCTTAACTTCCTCTCAGGAGAGTAGGGAGAAAGGGAGGACAGGAAGGAGAAGGGCTCTGGGCAAACTGAGGCAGAATGAAGGCACAGACGGAGCAGGCGGTGATGAAGGAAAAGCTTCCTAGGAAAGAAAGCCGTTGGTAAAACCCACGCACATAGCCACATTATTCACAGTGAATTGATCCAAGTGCAATGGTTAATTTTTGGTGCCCGGACATTTGGTCAGATATTCTTCTGGGTGCATCTGTGAAGGTGTTTGTAGATGAGATTAACATGCGAATTAGCAAAATGAGTAAAGCAGACTGCCCTCCCTAATGTGGGTGGGCCTCATCCAATCAGTTGAAGGCTTGCACAGAACAAAAAGGGTGACCCTCCTGTGAGTAGAAGGGACTCCTCCTGCCCAGTCCCTCTGAGCTGGAACATCAGTTTCTTTTTTTTTTTTTTTTAAAGATTTTATTTATTTATTTGACAGAGAGAGAGACCGCGAGAGAGGGAACACAAGCAGGGGGAGTGGGAGAGGGAGAAG